CGAGAGCGGTCGCGAAGAGATACTTGCGAAACTTGCGTCATTTGAGGAAACAATCGGGCGCAGCGAAAAAAAATCTATAATCTTGTAGAATATAATCTATAATCTTATAAAGTTATGATAAGGCCGTTGGAATAATAATAAGATCACTATAACGTAAAATATATTGACCTCGCTAGCGGAGATAGCGGCTCGTTCGATCGAATGAGGCATGTATGATGCATAGGACGATGATATGTTGTATATCCTATGTAACACGTGCAAAAGTAATGTGTATGCGCCGATGCTAATGCTAGCCACTAGCGACATTAATATTTGCAAGGCCAGGGTGCTGCAAGTTCGAGGTTCGTCTCTGCATCGGGGACACTCGTACTCGCTGCAGACAGTGCTCTCTTATATAAGTTAAAAGCGAGACAGACAGAGAGTTGGACGAGGAGAGAAAAGAGAAACGGAGAGAGAGAGAGAGAGAGAGAGAAAGAGAGAGACAGACAGAGAAGCGGAGCTAGATAAATAGGCGGAATAATAGTCAACGACCACACTACGATAAAGCGTACTGATGCCGAGCGCAGCGGCTCGCGATCGAGCACCTCCGCGAGCGTTTCCCTCGAAATAGCGCAACGACGGACACTGCGTCCCGCGGGAGAAACTCTCTCGAAAAGAAAAAAGAAAAAAAAAAGAAAACGATATCTCTGCCGACTACGTCGTCCAAGTATCACGCGACTGCTGGAACGACGGCGCGAGAGGCAATCGACGGCGTATCGCGTGCAGCTCGGAGAGCTCATTCTAGCGCTGGACTTACTCGGTGATGAACTTATGCCGTGCGTCTCCACGACGTCTTCTCCCGCGACGACCGCACCGCACCGGCACCGATGAGGAGATCGCGAAGGTCGCGCAACGACGCGCAATGACACTCGCGGCGGTCACAGCTCTCTCGCGATGACAGCCGGTTCGCTCACTCCGGCTGACGCATGCTGCGCGAGTACACGCGACGAGTTTGGCGAGGCGGCACGCTCTCGCGCGAGTAAAGCGCGGTGTATATGCGTATAAATCTATACATATATCTACAATATACATATACACGTATGCAATCGACTGCGTAGCCGAGGGAAGAGAGAGAGAGAAAGAGAGAGAGAGGGAGGGAGAGAGCGAGCGAGAGGAGGCGGAGTTCAGTCGACGCACGAGAAATTACCCGCGTGCACTCTCCCGCCTGTTGACGATGGGGCGTACTCGAAAGAGCGGATGTTCTCCCTTATCCGCACCGAGAGCCAAGGGCCAGGAGCTTTCACCGCGAAGGGGGGCCGAGAGAGGGAGAAAACGGTGGATTGCACCACGTCGTGCGAGTCGCACGGACGGAGAGAGTGAGATGAGTAATCTAACGATCGCCGCTCCTGCGTGCCAACCGCAGTCTCCGACCGCTGTCGTCTGCCGGAGCGCGACGACGGACTAGAAGCTGCTGCAGCGGCGTCGGCACATCGCGCAACCAGGACGTTCCACGCAGGTTCCAGCTGACGTCCTGGCAGGGCGGGCGAGCGAGGAGGGGCATTCCACCGAGGCGAGGAAGGAAAGAAGCCAGCCGCCCGGAGAGAGTCGGGAGTCCCGCTGATCCGCGCTTGATCAATCGATTAGATCCTTCGATAGACAGATCTCTCGACGTAGAGTCGCCCGGGAGTCAATCAACAATCTCGTTCTCGCTCCTCCGACGAAAGTGAATTGGTACCTTCGCGCGGTTCGTTTCGCGGGACGATCGCGCGCGACGATTCCCCGACGTTCTCCGTGCGATCGCGGCGAGCGATTAATCGTCACAGCTTTCGAGACGACGGCGGTTGCTGCAGCGCACAATCGGAGAGAGCCTCCCTCCCTCCCACCCGTCTTGAACAGACGTCTTTCTACTCGCGACGGTCTCGCCGCGCATCCACCCCTCTACGATCTACCCTTTCCTACCCTCTCCCTTTCCCTCCGGTGTCTGTCTCTCTCGGCGGACGGATAATTCACGAGGGCGCAGATTAGCGTCCGCGAATTGACGCGCGCGTTTCTGCTCACGGGAGAAGAAGAGAGAGAGAGAGAGAGAGAAAGAGAGAGAGAAAGAGATACGGTATGCACCGTGTGTCGAGTAGAACTGCGCACCACCTGTCAACGACTGGCGGCTCGAGCGCCAGTCTGAGTTGACCCACCTCCGCTTACGAGAGCCGCCGGCCGATCGAAGCCGCCGCCGACGCCGTCGCCACTGCGCGCTGCGAACCGAGGCTCAGCCAGGTGGACGACGAGGACGATCGGTTGTCGCGCCGCCGTCATGCCGACGCACGTGTCCCGTGCATCGTACGCGAAATACACGGTAATCGCGAAACAGCCGTCGGCGACGCTGGGCTCTGCTCTCGGCGAGAGAGAAACGAAAAAAAAGAGAAACACGTTTGATCGTCGTCGTCGACGAGCGCGCCCGCTCGATGATGCTCCGTCAACGAAAGCGTCAGCGACAGCGATGCGCACGGTGAGAATGTATATATATATGATAACGGATTAGAGTAGGGTAAGGTAGGGAGAACAATTTCACCGCGCCGCGCCGGTGGGGAAGAAATAGAGAGGAAATAAAGGGAAGGAAAAGAGAGAGAGAGAGAGCCGACGGTTGACGGGACGGGTACGACAGCACCCAGCCAACTGCACATCGCTGAATGAACCCGCCGTGACCCCGACGCTCCTCCGCGCGCCCAAACCACAACCACCCGTGTGTCCGCTGTTCGCCCTCTCTCACCCCCCTTTCCCGCCCCGTCGACCGAAGGTGGTATTATTTTATAAGCGCGACCCGCTCGTCTTTTCGACGACGTCTCTTACTGATGGATGCTGCGTATACGCCAATCTCAGTTTCATCAGTCGGTCCCTCCCGTGGGAAATATCATCTCGAAAGAAAAAAAAAAAAAAGATTCTCACCCGAAATCATTTCGCGACGATGAGCCTGGGGATTTTCGTATGATCTTCGCGCGAAGCTTGGCTTACGATCGCCTCATTCGCCGGGGCAATTGGGAGGAACTGCCCAGAATAACTCTTCACATGCTTGGAGGATATTGCTCCTCTTCGAATCTCTTGTGCGGCTCAATTGAGGCCTCTTTCAGAATTGTAATAATAAAGGCCGTTCACGATGTGTGATAATAGACGGAACCATCGCTACTTATCTGATTAGAATAGCGAAGATAACCATCTTGCTTCTAATGGCTTCAAATGAAATTGAAAGAAATGAAGAATATTAATTCGATCGCTTTAATGGATCCCGTTCCAAATGAAAAGACCGCCGCTTAACAGGACGAGACGATCTCTCGTTTAAGAAATTGCGATATGAACGTTCGATTTTCATGATATCGCGCTAATCATAGCGGCGAGCTTATTACCACTCATTACTCCTTAATGAAAGAAGGGCTTTATATATAGGAATGCGATCATGTACTCGCATTGTGGAACATTTAGCCGTGCTATCTATTCCATGTGCGTCAGATCTCACATCCTCTCCCCCCCTCCCCCTCTGCTACAATCATCTATATTTGTTACTTGTCGATGCCAATGGCTGTTAGCCACACTTAAAGGGTTTGATCATCGTCAATGAAATTTGCTGAATGAATCATGGAACAAACTCATCAAGCTCGAACAGGACGAGAGCTGACTTATTCTTGGCGTTGTAATCGTTCAATTCTCTCTTCTTTCTTAAGTTAATATTAATTTTGAAGAGTTCAAAGGCAACGATAAATTAACGTTAATATGATATCAGAAGATTAATGTGCAAATGCAATCTTGATTGACGTTTACAATTTTTTTATATGTGTTAAAAAATAAAAAATATTTTAGCTCATTCTATTTAAATATATGAGCGTTAATCTGTCCACATGTGACAAATGATTTCTATTTGATTCAGATAATTAAATTGTCAGTCATCGCAATGATGATAGATAATTGCATTATAAAATATCATCTCAAAAAAATTTCACTAGTAAGAGTAACTCGCCATTGATGAACGGTGAAATTCAATACTTTCATAAAGAAGAAACATAAGTCACAAAGCAACAAATTCTATCCCCCCCCCTTCCCCCACCTTTCCCGCATTTGACACAAAAGGTAACACGAGAGCTTGCACCGATACCGATATCAGCACCGCGTTTAACCATCACGCGCATGCTGGGCTCGTTGTGACGTCAGGGGGCGAAAAATCAATCCACCCTGCCGCCGCACTGTAGCGTGTGCGGCAGGGCAGGGACTGTGTGTGCGATCCACCATCACCATCGTTCTCCGTCGTCGCTGTTAATTGTTACGGCAGTCCCACTCGCGGATGTAATAGCGCGACGATAAACGGTTTTTATGGGATTTCGACAATTGCACGGGGGAGACGCGTGAACGCCGTCGCATTAGACTTCGCAACTCGTAAACTGTGATTGATTAAAAGGAGACGCGTATTCATCGCTACGGATGCGAACGGGATCAACCGCAATTGTAGTCGCATACATCATCGCATACATCATCGTTAAGATTACTTTCGATCGCGCGATTCGAACGATCGTCGAGTTCTCAATGCGAATCAACGATCGCAAATTTATCATACATGTTCTTTATGTCGTTTTAAAACGGTTTAAAAAAATTGCCAAAAGTTTCGCGCAAGTCACAAAATGCATATTTTTCTTTGAGAAATGAAATATTTCTGGATGAACGTTTTAAACCTTTTGAATGAACGTTTATACGCTTTCTGCGAGTTCTCCGAATCGCAATTGAGATGCGCGACGATTACCACTATTGTGAAATGAACGATTTCGCGTTAACCGTTGCGCGTGACGTGAATACAGGTAATTTGCATTCCCGAGCGGCGATATTTAACCGATTAATTAATTGCTGCAGTTTATCGGTCGGCGATGTATACTCGTAATCGGTACTTTACTTATGTAACGGCGGGGCCTCGCTGTGTGCCCGGAAGCCTAATACGCGAAATTACTCGGATACGTGTAATGGCGATCGCGTGTCTTGCTTGCACATACCAATAAGCAGCGACGAAGCGAGCAATCAAATGCAACCGTGCGTCCTCCCACGTAATCGTCGTCGTTCTTCTTCCGAAGCTCGCCAACTCGACAATGCGAAAAATTCCCTCGGTTGACTATCAGCCGCAACTGAAATCGCGATACTGAAAACAGCGCCTTATACGCGCCGCATCAATGCGTTGTTGACTTTGGCTGCGGAAGGCAAACACACGGCTCATTGATAAGTAATCCACGGTCATGCGGAGCCGTCGTACATTATGTACATTATGATACCTGACGATAACAGCACGTTTGCTCTTACGGAACTATTTCTGGCATACGTGAAATTTATGTCCAAGCGAATGGGACAGGAGTTTGGAACATTGTTGCAAGCGCTGTTTTCGATTTTTTTATAAGAATCAATAATTAAAATTGCCTACTTAGAAAAATAGATAATAAAATTAATTGTAGAGTAGTGTAAATATTTTTCTGAATTTTCATAAATACTGACATTATGTACGAACCTATCTTATTTTTTTTTTATGTATATTCATAACATGCATACTTTTATATTATGCATGCTTCTATTTTTGTGAAAAATATTAAAATTGATAAAATTTTTTTTTGTTAGGCATAATAAACACTTATTATATGTATGTATTTTATTATTAATAGCAAATACGCGTGATATTGATGATCGATCGTGCACTTGGACGCTTATATAACGCAATGTAAACATGTGGATATTTATATATGCAAGCTAAACAATTTTCCGAACGACAGCGATTTATGATTAGACAGCGCGCCTCATTGGTAACCGATAACAGCTCGCGCGCTATTAATTGGCAAAAAAGATACCGTGAATGCGTAGCGCCGTTCCGCATAGAAAATTGACTTGTTTACCTCACGTTCTACGCGACGGAATATCTGAATCGCAATACTTTGTGTGCGTGTGTGTCATTCCGCGCAATAAACGCTCGTTTGTGTGCACATTTGCACGCATTTTATTTATATGCGAGGCAATTCCGGGTAGCCTCTATTGCGTTGTGGAAGACTGCTTTTTGTAGCGTGCGAAATATTCACGATGCAAATAAAAATGTATAATATATACGGAATCAGCGGAATAATTATGGAAACTATTTTCGCGTGCTGTTATTTCTCCCGTTTCCATTACAATTAATTATGATGGATTATTCGTAAAAATGCAAATGCGAAATAATAAAGTAGAGAGATGACTGCACTATCGCGCTTGGCGATACATCAAGATTAAGAAGAGACAAATATGCGGAGATCGGAATAGGCGCCAAGTGGTTAAACAAAAGACAAAAATATCTCGCACCTTGTATTCCTTGACTATCTCCATTGTGTTTTGAAACTGGCCCGGTATACATTCCGTGAGCGGCATGAAGAAAACAACTATTCAAACAGCGAACAGTGGAAAAAGTTAAACGTAGTCAGACGCGATTTGTGCTCTGCGCACAACAACACGAGCGACAAATAGATGATTCTAACGCCGCTTTAGGCATGAGGAATCAAAGTAGGTTCAACGGAGGCATTATTCGATGCATCAGGCCGAGCATCATTAGCTTATTAAGTTAGTTAAGCGAGGACGAAAGAAGACAACGTTGTGCATTGCGGCAATCATAAGTTGCCTTCAGACGTCGCTTGCCGCGATATTTTATTTTGCACTTAGTCCGAGATTTTTTTCCCTGAAATTTGCATTTTTACTTAATGATATGCAAAGAAACACTTGTAACGATCGTCTCTCGCACATTTTTGCAATACGTAAAAATGTTATTAGTTTTCAGTATGACGTATTAGATACGAGACCTACAAATAAGAACGTAAATCAGTTCAGTCGATTAATACTTGTTGACACAGTTGTTCTACTTTCTTTTAAACGTTCAGTATAACAGTTTGAAATAATTCCACTATTGAAATAAACACGCTAATATCAATAATAATATTAAATATACATATGTATGTGATAAGAATATCTCATAAAAATGTATAAACACGCTATTACGAAAGATATAAATGCGGTTTACAATTTTCGTTACGTTGCATAAAATGTATCGGCAAGCCGGAATAAATTGATTTAGCCGTCAAGCTAGCACAAGACGATTAGACGCCCACTATTATATCGATAACCATATCTGGGTCATGCAAATTACGGCATGCAACTTTTTAGATGTTTTATTTGATAATGCGATAAGTACAGTTTTTACATATAATTGCACAATTTAATTCCATATTACTGTATATTATCGAGTCTCGTAACACGATCGGTGGAAAGCCGAAATCATATTAAGAAATGAAATCATCTATTGATGTTTCATATTCTTAATATTTTCCAATAGCAACATATTTTCTTAAACTAAACTGCTTATGTGTTTTCATAATATATCATGTATTATATTATTGACACAAGTACGAGAAAAGATAAAACATCTAAAAAAAATATTTTACAGCTATTTAGAATAATTTTACAAATACCATTAAAAATACCATTAAAAATTGTACAGGAATAAAAAATTTCAACATATTTATTTGCTTAATAGTCGTCAGCTCAAAATCACAAGCTGATAAGCATAAAAGCATTATGTGGCGCTATCTCGAGACCAATGTCGCGAAATAACGAACAAATGAAAGTTTGTTCGATCCTTGGATAATAAATTGTTAAAACAGAAATATAACAAAAGATTATAAATATTTTGCATTCCTGTGCCTCCAAAAATATAAAACTAGATTTCTAGATAACAATTAATTTTTTATTTTACCATAAAGTGCGCATAAAATGTAGCTCAAAACTATGTATGATGTACAACATTTTATTCTTAAAAACATAGAGTTACATTTACTGTTATTACAAGATTGTTCATTTATAAACAATTTCATATTTCTCTATAAAAATTTCACGTACTTATAATTTACAGTTTAGTTAAAAGTTTTTTCAACATCATAGATCAATATATAAAACTTTAATCCACACAAAAATATAATATAAAGTTTCGACAATCCAAATAAAATTAATCTATGTTTAATTTTCGAAATGAACCTTGCATCCCTTCAAGCTCCTTTAAGAGACTGGACTTTTTTGATTCCGGTAAACGAGCATTCTCATCCGTACGACTCAGTTTCTCATCTTGCAGAAACCAATCTCTCTTTTTTTTAATTTTTTCTTGCCACGCAGCTGTGCATATGTAAAAAAATATAATATTACAGATCAAATAACTTTATTAAAGATACGAGAGTAAATACAATGCGTTTAAATATCTTCTCGTAATTTTGCCTGCACCAAATTTTTACAATTATTATAATATATTTTTTACTTACTATAATCATATTTCTTCATGAGCAAATTATGACATAAAATTAAGAGAATTGTACTTACTATTTAGTTCTTGAAAAGTGCCTGCTTTGCCACCCCATTCATTGGGAAGTATATCTTTGTCCATATAAGCGTGTAATTCTTCGCCGCCACCATTGTGAAGATAAACCTGCAAATATACGAAATGTATTCTCGTGTTCCGCCCCCGATTTATCTCAAAATTTTAATAGCAATTTTATATGAATTTTTTATTTACCTTATTAATTAATTTTTCTTTTAAGAATGAAAATAAAATGAGGATATTGGTGATAAACGTCGGCGCATGAAGACAGTGGATACTAAATAATCGAAAAGGCATGCTATCTTGCATAGCCATCGACGCCCGTCTTACGATAGATAGTGTCGGACTGACTTTTGCAAGATGCGCCGCGCTACATCCCTAAAATGATAAATTTCTTTCCAGATAGCTTCATGTCAATGACATAAATTATTTTTAAGTGATTAAAAAAAATTGAGATGATATATATACATCTTCTCAAAATATTAATAATACAGAGTTTTGTGTGTACTGCACAATAAATCTTAAAAAAAAAATGTTGTAAAAAATCGAGACTGTTCCGTTAAACCAACGATTATATATTCATTGTCAGCGGCTGGTCTTAACCAGCGCGTTAATGAAATTTAAACAGAATTTCGAGATACCAGACAGCTTACATCGAGATGTACACATGTGTGTGCAGTGATAATTATGACTCTGACATGAGTGTGATAATAAGATGTGAAGTAAGAAGAAACGTCGAAGCATGAATGCAATCGCACAATATCATACCTCAAGATCTATGACCATAATATTAGATAAACAAGATTCTTCCATTAAACGAATGTCGAGTACCATTAAAATACGTCTGACTATCGCTTGAAACGAAAATTTCTCCGGATCGATATTACGCAATCGGCTGATGGTGATGCGATATCCTTCTTTGGTTAATGACGGCAAGACAAAGTAGTCTCTAAAATATATTTGTTTAAGAACATGTGTAGTAGTAAGTTTACTTGAAGCTTCCTGATTTGTTATTATGAAATCAGATGAAATATTTTCATAACTCATTTCTAGATTATTTGCGTAAGAATATATGTACGATTCATTTACATTGCATCGCAGGAATCTTGAATATCCCGAGACAGCGGATCGCGAACGGCGAAAAACTCCGGCAACGATGTTCGGGCGGTGTAGTATCTTTCCAATATTAATTTACACCTTTCGACGCTATTCTTGCAGTTGTAAAGAAATTTCTCCAGTTTGTCGTTGTCTATAATGAGCAAAGACTATGTAGTTTATCAAAATGTCACATGTTTTCCATTGGAAATTAATTTCTTGTTCAATTTGGGATTAATTTTATTTCCAATGTTTTATTTTTCCCATTTTTTGATAACTTAATCAACTCAATCTTTGTCATAAAATCTGTTATCAGGGAAAAGTGTATGGTATTCTTGAATACATTGCACACTGTATTATTTAGAATTACTCCTAATTTATCGAAATATTGTATTGTCGTTTTTCTAACG